TCTCATTTTTTTGGTCTCATTTGATAGAAAGGAAGATATATTACAGAAATAGATATGATTTTGATTGCTTTCACGACAAAAAGAACCTTGAAAATTAACTCAGTTTTTTATTATTACAGTGGACCCCCGGTTAACGATTTTAATCCGTGCAAGAGGGGTAATTGTTATGCGAAATAATCGTTATGTGAATGAATTTTCCCCATAAGAAATAATGGAAATAAAATTAATCCGTGCAAGACACCCAAAAGTATGAAAAAAAAATTTTTTTACCACATGAAATATTAATTTTAATACACACAAACTGAAAAAGGCATGCACACTTACATGACACTTACTTTTATTGAAGATCTGGTGATGATTGATGGGATGGGAGGAGGGAGAGCATTATCTTTTACTGTTTAGAAGGGGAATTTCCCTTCCATTACGACTTGAGGTAGCAAGTCCTTTTCCGGGGTTACTTCCTTCTTCTTTAATGCCACTAGGACCAGCTTAGAGTCACTGGACCTGTGCACAACAAATCTGTCCATAGAGCTGTACCTCCCCGTTCCTTTACCGATTTGTCTAAAATGGGCCACAACATTGTCATTGAATAGTCACCAGCACGGCTTGCAACAGCTGTGTCAGGGTGATTTTCATCCATAAAGGTTTGCAGTTCAACCCACTGTGCACACATTTCCTTAATCTTTGAAGTAGGCACAATGGATTCCCACAACTGGCATGGTTCTCAGGGTTAGCCCCAACCCTTAAAATCTTTTTAAATTTCCATACAAATTCTACCCTTTTTACCACGGGGTTTGGGCACTGAGCTTTTTTGGGGCCATGGCACTTTTTTTCAGAAACAGCACCGAAAACACTGTAATAAAAAAAATTTTCCCGAGTGTATGCTGGATGTTCCGCGGAGGCTGGCTGGTAAACAAGGGACGGGCGGCACATGTGGGGCGGGTGAGGGACATTGGAGGTTTCCCGGCCGAAAAATCGGTGAGCGGGTTTTAAATCGGTTGCGCGGAAAAAATTTTTTGCGATAAAAGTAGGGGTAGCGGAAAAATCCATGTGATGCCATTTTTTATGCGGGGGTCCCGTATTATTATTTTTTTTTTGGACAGTACATAGTTGACAGGAAATTAAGTAGTTGGGTGTACTGCCAAAAAGTGTGTGGATAAAAGGTTTGAAAACCGACAAAGGGGAATCTTTTTCAGGAAAAGTTTTCCCAAACCAGTGGTTTTAATCTTCCAATAAAAAGGGAAAAAGGGAAAGGAGAGGGGTTTGAGGTAACAGTCCTCACCCGGAGTAAATGTGTTCAGCCCCATAAATTTTGTAGAATTACATTTAAATGTGTTAGCCCCAAAATCTTGTAGAATGTACTTCAAAAAAATTTGATGGCTGAACACATCGACCCAGGTGAGAGACGATTCCCTCAAACTCCCCCTCTCCTTACATTTTCTACTTTGTATGGATGATAACCCACTGTGGGGAAACGTTTCCTGAATAAAGTTTCCCAAGCTGCATAAGTGTCCAATCTTAAACAGCCAAAGCCCCTTGTTTGCGAACATTATGGCGGGTTTAAAAAATTTAATTTAAGATAGCGGAAATGTTCTATTCTTTAGCTGTTCAAGAGAAAAAATGACGTCGTGTCTAATCCCGTGGCCCCTGCGTCAATTCAATACACAGCAAAATGGGTTACATTATTTATTTTTTTATTACATAATGCAGTGTCTGCATAAAAGTAAATTTCTATTTTTTGTTTAAAAAAAAATTCCAAATGGGGAAGCAGATAATATAAAAGGGGGGTGGGGCCCCGGACTATAAACAGAGAAAATGTTATTTTAGTGCCAGGAAAGTCGCACTGTTTTTTTTTTTTTGGCCCCTTTTTTAAAATTTACATCTGTTTAAATTTGGTGAAAACTGACCAAATTGCCAATTTTTGACCCTTTATTGGGTAGGGGGAAAAAGGGAATGGGCGGATTCTTGTACTCAGTCGACGAACGAAGTAAGTAAAATAAGTAAGTTTTTCGGTTTCACAAATACGGTTACACAATTATCATACAAGCAGGTTTATGGGAACTAAGGATAAACCCCCAAAAGTCAGAGTGCTTATTTCCAATACCTGGCTTGAGCTTGCCAAATTGATTTTGGAAAAAATTTATTTTTTCTCAGTTTTTTTGTTGGGGTATCCATTGAAAGGGGGAATGTATGATGAAAAGATGCTTCTTAACGTACACCAAAAATAAAAAAAAAATGGATAATAAATAAAAGGGGGTTTACTTTTCGGCCCTTTGCGCCTCTTTGTGGGAAATTTCTGTTTGGTTTTTTTGGATGTATTCTCATTTTTTTATCATTTGATTGAATGGGAAATAATTACAAAAACAGATATGATTTTTTATTTGGGTTTTACACAAAATACGTGGACCCCCCGGTTTTCGATTTTTTTCACTCCAGAAGTATGTTTTAGGGTTTCCAGTACTGCCGAATTTGTTCCCCATAAGAAATATTGTGAAATAGATTAGTCCATTTTAGACCCCCCAAACAACATACAACGCCTTTTAAAAAATACCTTACTAATTTTGGGCGCATTCGGAGGTAATCGTTATGCGGGGGGGCCACTTAATCTTAAACTGAGCTTTAAAATATGGGAAAAAGTTTTATTTTTGCCCTGTTCAAAGAACTTTGTGTAGGTCAAATTGGTTAAATTTTTTTAAGTGATCTAACCAACCCTCTGTAATCCGGCAAATCAATAATCCCGGGAATAAAGGGCCCCAAATATGCCCGATTTATTATGGAGGACCTGTATTGGAGTTTAATGTTCTCTATATATAGTAGGCATAATATCAGTGTATGTCTTGTATATTTAGTAGGTACAGGCTTTTGAAATGTGGTGGGGTGTGCTGTCTGGCACAGGAGCTGGTAATCATCCACACAGCAGTTTTTTGTTGGGTTATTAAAGGTTTAAGGTGGTTGGCTGTGGTTGATCCCCAGGCACAAATACCATAGGTGAGGTAGGGATATATAAACGAGTAGTACGTATAGGTAAGGAGTGTCGTTTGGGGTACATAGTACCGAATCTTGGAAAGGATGCCTACTGATTTGGAAATTTTCTTGGATATATGCTGGATGTGGGAATGAAATTAAAGATTACAGTCAAGGTGAAGACTTAGAAATTTACCCTCAGTGTGTCTTGGATATGTAAGGCTTCGTTTCCAAACAGCATAAAGTATGTTTTGTCTATGCTGAGAGTGAGTTTGTTGGTTAACACTAGGTCACACACTCCCTGCTCCATGAGCTTTATCAAACCTCGTCTTAAAGCTGTATATGGTTCCTGCCTCATCTACATTACTTTCCAGACTATCCCACTTCCTGACAACTCTATGACTGAAGAAATACTTCCTAACATCCCTCTGACTCATCTGAGTCTCCAACTTCCAATTGTGACTTCTTGTTTCTTTGTCCCATCTCTGGTACATCCTGTCTCTGTCCACGATGTCAATTCCTCGCAGTATTCTATATGTCATTATCATGTCTTCCCTAACCCTCGTGTCCTCCAGTGTTGTCAGGCCGATTTCCCTTAACTTTTCTTTGTAGGACATTCCCCTTAGAACTGGGACTAGTCTTGTTGCTAACCTTAGCACTTGCTCTAATTTCTTGACATGCTTGACAAGGTGTGGGTTCCAAACTGGTGCTGCATACTCCAATATGGGCCTGATGTACACAGTGTATAGTCTTGAACTATTCCTTGCCGAGGTACCGGAACGCTATTCTTAGGTTTGCCACGCGCCCATATGCTGCAGCAGTTATCTGGTTGATGTGTGCCTCAGGAGATGTGCTCGGTATTATACTCGCCCCAAGATCCTTTTCCTTGAGTGAGGTTTGCAGTCTTTGGCCACCTAGCCTATACTCTGTCTGCGGTCTTCTTTGCCCTTCCCCAATCTTCATGACTTTGCATTTGGCAGGGTTAAATTCGAGAAGCCAGTTGCTGGACCAGGCTTCCAACCTGTCCAGGTCTCTTTGTAGTCCTAATTCTCCTCATTAACTTCACATCATCTGCAAACAGAGACACTTCTGAGTCTATCCCTTCCGTCATGTCATTCACATATACCAATAACAGAACTGGTCCTAGGATTGACCCCTGTGGAACCCCTGCTTGTCACAAGCACCCACTTTGACACTTCGTCACGTACTATGACTCATTGTTACCTCCCTGTCAGGTATTCTCTGATCCATTGCAGTGCCTTTCCTGTTATGCATGCCTGATCCTCTAGCTTTTGCACTAACTTCTTGTGAGCAACTGTGTCGAAAGCCTTCTTGCAGTCTAAAAGATGTAATCTACCCACCCCTCTCTCTCACGTCTTACTTCTGTTACCTTGTCATGAAACTCTAGTAGGTTTGTGACACAGGATTTCCCTTCCCTGAAACCACGCTGGTTGTCGTTTATAAGTTTGTTTCTAGGTCCTTCACCACTCTCCTCCTAATAATCTTCTCCATGATTTTGCATACTATACACATCAGTGACAGTGGTCTATGCACACACGTGTGTGTGTGTGTGTGCATGCACACGTGTGTATGTACGTTTGTGTGCACATGTGCATGTGTGTGTATGCACATGTGTGTGTGTGCGCATGTGTGTGTGTATGCACCTGTGTGTGTGCATGTGAACCTGCGTGTGTGTGTGTGAACCTGCATGTATGCACATGTGTGTATGTGTGTACATGCATGCACATGTGCACTTTTAAACTGTTTTATTATATTTATTATTTCAGTACAGTGCTGTAGTTATGAGCTCTGTTGAAAACTGAACTTATTTACTTCAATGTATTAACACTTCATTTCATAAAATGTAAAGAAGCGCCTCTAAAGTATATTTACATTAAGTAACCACTCAGACAATTCCCTGCTTTTTTTTTCACAAATTATTCTTATTATTTATTTAACAACATACAATGCATCTCAAAATACAACCTGTCTGAGCATCTTTTTTGCAAACGGAAAAATGTTTTCCGAAAACTTACCAATTCATGATGAAAGTGAGGAACCTCGAGTTCCAAAAGACATCTGGTAGCCTCAGTAATATCTGAAGAAGAAAGGTATTCCTCCAGCAGGAGTACCATCTGCTTCACCAGGTACTTAACAGGGCGAGTACCTCCTCCCACGCCCCAAACATTGTCCAGTCTCACCAATCCATGACGCATGGAGAGCAAGCTGTCTGATCTTGCTAACGTCACTACTGCATGCTCACAATCCACCTGTTTATAAATTTATAAATATGAAAAAAGTTCACAAGTGAAGTTCAGAACAACAACTTTATAAAGACTTTGTATCTACTGAGCTAAGTATAAAATTGGATTCAACCAAAGTCAAGGCTCAATTCCTGGGTAAGTCAAGACATTAGTTAAGTCTCCTTACATATGTTACCCTATTCACCTACAAGTAAACTGGTACCAGGGTATTAGAGGACTTATGGGTAGCATCCTTGGAGGATGATAGTACAATAAACCTTCTTGTAATGCAACTTCTTCTTGTGCAGTTTTTTTTTTTTGCAACACATATCAAAAAAGTTCAATCAAAATATTTAACAATGCAGGAAAACTTTCACATTATACAATGTAAATCATTAAAAAATGAGCTAATATGAGTGTTGCAGCTGCAAGGAGGAATTAATGGGAATAAAGCTGCCTCTCACACAAAAACTTTTTTCAATTAATTCCCTATTTTCACTGTATTATATTGACCAGTGACCAAAAAAGCAGAACAGTATACAATTTATAATCCTTCCATATAACATAGTCATTTTGTAAAGTCTTACCCAACTTCCTTCATCGTGCCTTTTACCCCTGTGTTGATGCATGCTTCAAATTTATACTCACTTTGCCTTTATAGCTTTGAAGAAATTTAGGGGGTATACAATCATCTGCGATGGATCGGGCAATAAAATTGCCTAGGATGGTTGGTGCGTCCGGCGTGTCCAGCACCAGGTCACTCAGGTTCTTAATAAGAATATCATAACCTGTAAAATAAAACATTTGTTAGCTAAAATACTTGTTAGCCTAACACGAAAAATAATCTGTAAATTGCCAGTGCTTCTAAATTCACAAGACTAAAGCATCAATAAAAATTCACCCATGCTTAAATTACATCAAAGTAGTTGACACTCAGAGCTGCAGAAAATATATGAACATAATAGTATTAAAGTACAATATATTGTACCATATATTATGCTCTACACAAAATCTCTTCTTATGGAAATAATACACGAGGTTTAATTTTAAAAGATGATAAATACACAAACAAAAGACAGTATTCCTAATGACAGCCAATCCACCAAGAACAACACTCTTAGTCCACCAAGAACAACACTCTTAGTCCACCAAGAACAACACTCTTAGTCCACCAAGAACAACACTCTCGGTCCACCAAGAACAACACTCTTAGTCCACCAAGAACAACACTCTTAGTCCACCAAGAACAACACTCTTAGTAGACCAAGAACAACGCTCTTAGTCCACCAAGAACAACACTCTCGGTCCACCAAGAACAACACTCTTAGTCCACCAAGAACAACACTCTTAGTCCACCAAGAACAACACTCTCAGTCCACCAAGAACACTCTCGGTCCACCAAGAACAACACTCTCGGTCCACCAAGAACAACACTCTCGGTCCACCAAGAACAACACTCTCAGTCCACCAAGAACAACACTCTCGGTCCACCAAGAACAACACTCTTAGTCCACCAAGAACAACGCTCTATCCACCAAGACAACACTCTTAGTCCACCAAGAACAACACTCTTAGTCCACCAAGAACAACACTCTCAGTCCACCAAGAACAACACTCTCGGTCCACCAAGAACAACACTCTTAGTCCACCAAGAACAACGCTCTTAGTCCACCAAGAACAACACTCTTAGTCCACCAAGAACAACACTCTTAGTCCACCAAGAACAACACTCTCAGTCCACCAAGAACAACACTCTCGGTCCACCAAGAACAACACTCTCGGTCCACCAAGAACAACACTCTCGGTCCACCAAGAACAACACTCTCGGTCCACCAAGAACAACACTCTCGGTCCACCAAGAACAACACTCTTGGTCCACCAAGAACAACACTCTTGGTCCACCAAGAACAACACTCTTGGTCCATCAAGAACAACACTCTCGGTCCATCAAGAACAACACTCTCGGTCCATCAAGAACAAAACTCTCGGTCCATCAAAAACAACACTCTAGCTCCACCAAGAACAACACTCGGTCCATCAAGAACAACACTCGGTCCATCAAGAACAACACTCGTGTCAGCATAGTTGCTGATCCTCCTTTACATGTGTTGTATGCATAGATTAGATGAGCATTATAGTACCATCCATGTGTTTATATAGAAGATCCCTTAGGCCTGTGACTGTATGACGTCATGGGATGCAGCGAGCGAGTGAGACGAGCTACCTCGGCCTCAGACGACGCATAGGCATCATAGAAGGCAGGACACGGCAGGCTGGGCTCCATCTCCCATTACCACAGTCTGACAATAGTGTTACCATCCAACAAGTGAGTTTACCTTATCCATCAATCTCCTACCGAACCCCCACACGACAATTTGGTGGCAGCGGTGGGATAGATTGATCCAGCGGAGTGGATGAGGTCTCCACTGTTGAAATAGCACCGACCCACTGGTCAGGTGGCATGTCATCCTGTACTTGAACAGGGTAAGGATAGTGAACTAGGTCAACGAGGTTGGTATTTGCTCTGAGACGAACACTGTGACCCGAAGTGTTAGCAAGGAGTAAATGGATCTTACTGTCTCTTACAATGTGTAAGGAAGGTTCAACAAATAAACCCTTGACCTTGCAGGAATCACTGTCAACTAGGACGTTATCACCATCTGGAACATTAGGAACAACAACAGACACTCTAGTGAGAGCACTAGCCGCAACAGAGATGTCTTTCTGCAGACGGCATGTGACATCAACAAGAGATGGCATTACTAGTGTCAAGTAATCGTTTTCCGACAAGGCGTCCCCTTTGGAGAAACTACTACTTGGACTAGCAGACATTGCAGGGATAGGCAGAGCACTCAAAGCAGTCTGAGCGTCCTCGGACACTTGAGGCAATACACTATCTTGCATATCTGAAGGTGTAGGTGGAACACAGATGGGAGTGACAGAGTTACCAGTGCCTGACCGCTTGGGTACGCTACTGGAGAATGCATTGGCTTGTAAGGACTTAATGTGTACATCATACTCTGCAGCAGTATGACAGACCTCTGATCCAAGCTGGTAACCCCAGAATGGAACGATCAAGTCGTCAATTTGGGCATGCCATCGGTACGGGTCAAGCACAATGCGTAAGTCTCGCATGGAAGCAAATCCCAGTAGACGGTCACCAGGGAAAGTAATCCGGTCGACAACAAGAAAAGCAGCAGTAAAATCTCTGCCTTGGATAGTAAAGGTGAGCAAAGTCTGACCTCGGACTCGCAGAAGGGAACCAGCTACTCCACTAAGGGAGGTTACAGTAGTTGGTTCAACCAGGAGGACATGTCGTAACTGCTTCTCTTTAAACAAGCTAGACCTGATGATATTAACTTGCGCACCAGAGTCCATGAACACATGAACGGGCGCATTATGGATAGAAGCTTGTACCAAAGGACCTATCGTTTCGTTAGGAGTTATGTGCAAAGAGAAAGGTGGGTTGTCATCGGAGAAGGCATTTTCTACTTCATCCCCAAACTCCTCTACGTCAGAGACGTGTGAAGCAGCATCAACAGTGGGGTTGTCATTCTCAAGGCTGGCTAAGGCTTCATAGGAATTTTGAACTTGGATGGTGTACTCATTATCACCTACTGTCACGACTGGACGAGTAGACTGGGGCGCTCGGATTCCCCCGAATTGGAAGATTGAGCCTGGTTCTGGTTAGTTTGAGAACCACGACGTGTTTCCTCTCCTGGCTCTGCGGTTGGAACGGCCATGGAAAGATCTGGAGTACTGCAGGTTGTAGGGAGCATTGCACTCAGATGTGTCATGTCCATGAATTCTATGATAAGTAGAGTAGGGAAGATCTGACTGGTACTCATCATCAGTACAACGCCTCTTAGGGTGACTATCAGGACAATTAATTGCAATATGGCCACGGTAACCACAATTGTAGCAAGTTCTTTGACTGTGGGTACTATACATACTACGGGTGCTACGGGAATGATGGCTCTTAACACTAGCTTTGGATGATGGACGTGAGTGATTAAGGTTGGGAGTTTTGGTAGTAGCACAAACTAGAGGAAGTACAGGAGTAGACAAAGTGGTTGGCGTAGACTTTCGATAAGGGAAGGTTCCCTCGGGACACAAATTTTGTACATGGATGAAAGCTGCGAGCGATCCCATAGTAGCAACTAGCGGACTTGAATTGTACACATACATAGATGTCGGAGGCATTAATTGTTTAATAACTCCAAATGCAGCTAATTTGGCAAACCCATCAAGGGCTGGTTTATCGTTATCTTTAAGGTACTTTGAATTTTGACCTGCTTTAACGAATGAGGACATTAGGTTATTAAGACGAAGAGCAAACTCATCTAATGACTCTTCTGGTCTCGGAGCTGTGCAAACTAATTCTTTGAGAACAACGAACGGATCGGTTTCTCGCAGCGGTTCAAGATAATTGCGAATTAACTGTTCATAATCTTGCCACCTGGTTAGGTCTTGAAAGTCCTTCATACGAATTAAGTTAAACACATGTGAGGCGGCTGGAGAACGGGCTAGACTCTCCTTTCCGATACTGATTAAACAACTCTCAGATGGAAGACCATCAACTGAAGCATTAGCTCTGGCTCTAACAGCGGTAAACCAACCTTCTAGAAAAAAAAGAGGTCCATCAAGAACACTCGGTCCATCAAGAACAACACTTGGTCCATCAAGAACACTCGGTCCATCAAGAACAACACTTGGTCCATCAGAACAACTCGGTCCATCAAGAACAACACTTGGTCCATCAAGAACACTCGGTCCATCAAGAACAACACTTGGTCCATCAAGAACACTCGGTCCATCAAGAACAACACTTGGTCCATCAAGAACACTCGGTCCATCAAGAACAACACTTGGTCCATCAAGAACAACACTTGGTCCATCAAGAACAACACTTGGTCCATCAAGAACACTCAGTCTATCAAGAACAACACTTGGTCCATCAAGAACAACACTCAGTCCATCAAAAACAACACTTGGTCCATCAAGAACAACACTTGGTCCATCAAGAACAACACTTGGTCCATCAAGAACAACACTTGGTCCATCGAGAACACTTGGTCCATCAAGAACAACACTTCATCCATCAAAAACAACACTCGGTCCATCAAGAACAACACTTGGTCCATCAAGAACAACACTCGGTCCATCAAGAACAACATTCAGTCCATCAAGAACAACACTCGGTCCATCAAGAACAACATTCAGTCCATCAAGAACAACACTCAGTCCATCAAGAACAACACTTCATCCATCAAGAACACTTGGTCCATCAAGAACAACACTTGGTCCATCAAGAACAACACTTGGTCCATCAAGAACAACATTCAGTCCATCAAGAACAACACTCGGTCCATCAAGAACAACATTCAGTCCATCAAGAACAACACTCAGTCCATCAAGAACACTCGGTCGATCAAGAACACTCTGGCCATCAAGAACACTCGGTCCATCAAGAACAACACTCTCAGTCCATCAAGAACAACACTCTCAGTCCATCAAGAACAACACTCTCAGTCCATCAAGAACAACACTTGCTCCATCAAGAACAACACTCTCAGTCCATCAAGAACAACACTCTCAGTCCATCAAGAACAACACTTGCTCCATCAAGAACAACACTCGGTCCGTCAAGAACACTTGGTCCGTCAAGAACAACACTCGGTCCATCAAGAACAACTCTCAGTCCATCAAGAACAACACTTGGTCCATCAAGAACAAGACTTGGTCCATCAAGAACAACACTCGGTCCATCAAGAACACTTGGTCCATC